CCGCCTCCCGCCTCCCGCCTCCCGCCCCCCACTCCATCTCCCGCTCCCAGTGCTGGCCGCAGCCAGGGGCTGGGAGGGGCACAGACCTCCCGAACGAACGCAGAGACTAGAGGGAATGTGGAATTCTCGGCCCCCACGGCTCAAGCACCTACACGTCCACACAAATGCCAACAAACTCTGACTCTTCTTCCACGGAACGGGTCACCCTCAAAACATTCCCGGAGCGGACAGAGACCGACCATTAAAATGCGCCCTCGGCCGCTGACCGTGAGAGCCTCCTGCCGCGAACACGCTCTACCTGAGGAAGTACGACGCAGGAAACCAGCCCGCTCCTCTCCCGGTCTTTCCTCCTGAAGCTCCTGACAAGATCCATAACCTGGCCCCACGCGGCTACGAACACCGACAACCGTGACTCACCCCCAACCCGGTCCTCGGTGGGCGCGCCAGAACCTGCCGGCAGCACCCCCGGGCCCTGTCACCACCCTCTCGCGGGGCCCAGCTCCCGGTGCACACCCCGGTCGCCAGCGGCAGGGGCTCACACGGTTTCTCCAGAAGGGGTGCTTCTGGGGGCGCTGAGGGGAAGGAGCTGACGGCAGGGGTGCATGGCCTTCTCCACAAGGCTGCACACACACTGGGACCCACTCACACCCGCCTTCAACTAGGAAGGCCTGACCAGGCTCCTGTGGCTGCCTCTAGGTGACCGGGAGGCAGAGCTGGTTGGGGACCTCTGAGACCTGCCTTTTCCTGACCCGCGTGGTCAGTGTCAGGCCAGGGCCTGGGGTGGTGACCTCCAGCTTCATCTAACAGGCTGCGGGGACGCGTCTGCCTGGAATCCAAATCGACACCCTCCTCGACCCGGCGGCCAGGTCCGCGGGGATGTGTGTTGGTGTGTGGGAACACCCGAGGCTCTCACAACTGGGGACGGGTAGGTGCTCCTGGGGTCCAGTGGGTGGAGGCGGGGGTCCGCTCACTATCCTGCAGGCCACAGGACGGCCCCCACAGCCAAGAACAACGGGCCCGGATTATTAATGTGCTGAGGCCACAGGCCCCGCGTGACAGGTCCTGTCTCCCTGGGGGCACCCCGTCCAAGCATTTTCTATTTGGGTTCCACTGCCTAAGGCCGATTTGAGAAGGAAAAATCCTCTTTGTGACACGAGGCACACTGACAGCCTCTGTGATGGAGCTGCCCCACTGGTCTGTCCACCCCACACGACACAGGCTCCCAGGCCTCCCGCGGGCAGGGGCCCTCTGCTGCACGGAGCCCCGGGCCAGCACTCAAGAGACGGCCGCAGGGGACCCGAGGCACGGGGAAGTCCGAGAGGGCCGAGGGAGGCTGGCATTCGAGTCCACACCTCTCTGGACCACACGTTTTCTGGGCCGCCTCCTCAACGGCCACGTCCGGTGGCCTGTCTGTGCCCCGCCAGCTGGTGTCTGCGGGTCTGCAGCGGGCCTCCTCGCCCCCAAAGTCACCGAGGGGAACCGTGCGGCGCAGCCAGGCCTCCCCCAGCCCCTGGCTCTCCCTGAGCCTACAGGCCGCCGCCTACCCGCAGGACGCTCCCCTGGCCACCACTTACCTAACGGCAAACCTCTCAACCTCCTAAACCATCAACGTGTGGCAGTGACCTCCAAATGCAAAGAACCCAAACTCTTAGCGGTCTTTCCTCACCATGAGTAGCCACAACTGTTTGGTTAAAACACTGAAAATACAGCACATAAAAACAAAAAACAGAACAAAAAAAACAACAAAAAAAATTAAGAAATTAGAAAGACCTTAAAACCTAGAACACAAAATAAAAAGAACTTAAATGTAATTAAAAAAAGGCAAATAAAACACATATACGAACTGAAACAGAAAACACGGTGATGAAGAGTAAAGCTACTTTGGACGTCGCAGCGGCAGGAAGAGACGCAGGAAGAAAGCTGGTGGGGGCGCGGGCAAGAGGCGGGGCTCAGCGGCCCCGCAACCCCCGCGGCCACCTCCCCCCGCCGCCCCGCATGAGCCGTCACCTCCAGTGGCATAGCCAGGCTCTGCCGGGGGGGGGGTCGCACCTGGCCCCCCAGGCCCCTGCCCTTCTGCCCCACCCCCCACACGGGCAGGTCCATTAACAGGTGGGCTGGCACCCAGGTCAAAGGTCGCAGAGACATGCTCAGTGTCTGCAGCAAAAGCGAAAGCGAGTGGGGTCACTTGGTGACAGAACGGGCAGCTTGCAGCCACCTCCAGCAGTCAAGCTGGACACCCAGGGACGAATGGACAGTCAGTCACAAGCTGCGGCAGGGAGAAGCTCCACAAGTTCAGGCCCCACAACCGCCAGCCCGCCCCAGTCCAGAGGCCCAGGGGCTTGGCCTTCCACAGGCACCTCCAACAGCCTCTGCGGGAAGGGCACCAGGCCTGGGTCGCCTCCTCCAGCCCTGGGGGTGGCATCCTTACCTGGCAATGGGGCCACAGCCTGTCTGGTGAAGGCAGGCTGAGCTCACAGACCGAAACCGGCAGCACGTGACCAGGGGCCCTGAATCAGTCCCTGCCCCTGGCTTTCTCGGGGACCCCGCTGAGGCGTGCACTCCCCAGATAACTGCACACACCCAGGACAGCCATCTCCCCAGACTCGGAGACCCAGAAGTCAGGAGCACAGTAAGGACAGTCTAGAGGAGAAGACGCCGACCCCTCACCCTGGACTTCCCCACAACTGGCGTGCAAACCTCAGATGCTAGGAGGACGGCACGTTCTGGGCCGGTGTCCAGTCTGGCCACGGGGCTCATACTTTGGGGCGAGTTGAGGAACAGACGTGCTTGTGCCCCCAAACAAAGGGTCAGCTCAGCCCTGGCCTGAGGCCCACGCCCCCCCCAGAGCAGTCCTTCTCTCCAGCTCGGACGCCCCTCCGCGGGAGGCCCTGCGAACCCAGGGGCAGCTGCAAAGGGTTGGCCGCAAAGACAGCTTCCTGAATGAGCGTGGGACGATGGGGGGACGGGACGGGGGAGAGGAGGCGGGGGGACCCTCACTCCACGGCACGGCTACAAAACCTGGTAGCTGGAGCTCAACTGCAGCTGGCCGAGGTCACTCAGGTGCCAGTGGTCCCCCGCAGGCACGAGCTTGCCCCCCATCTGTGCACGTACCATGCCGTCGGCCAGGGGGAAGACGTTCAGAGAGGTGGGGCGCTCCTTCCTGCTGAAACATGAGGGAGAAGGAAGGAAGCGCACATTACAGGTGGCTCACCACTCGGGAACGGGGCTCGCTCTGGACACGCAGGGCCCCGCCCTGAGGGAGCGGGGTCCTGGGTGGGGGCACAGGGGCCGCCTGCCCCGAGCTCCTCTGGAACCGAACGCGGTCTCGTGTGCAGGGGAACCTGGGCTGTCCTGCGGGCCTGTGTGATACTTCCTTGTTTCACCGTGACTCACGTTTGGCGATTTCGGTCTTACACCCGCTACGTGCACTAAGAAGTCCCACGGGGGAGCCAGCAGCAGGCCCCCCGGCAACGTGGCCGCGCAGAGCGCTCCCGGGGGGAGACTTTACGATGGCGGTCTTTCCTATAGGTGGCGCAGCGTGCCTGCGTGTTGCTGTCGGCCCTGCGTCTGTGTCCTGGGGCCAGACAGAAGGGATCGACCTCTTCGCTCTGTACTTGGCTCCCTGTCCCCCAACCCGCTCCAATGTTCCTTCATGAGATCTCACTGCAAAACGTCAGAACCGACGTGTGCAGAGTGAAGAGGGGCTCCGTCCTCCTGTTGGGTGTCGGTGTCCTTGACAGCCCGAGGGGGCCCCTTTCTCCCACTCCACGCAGTTATTCCTGGTCATCATGGAGCAAAGACCCCAGAGGGGAGTTCTTTTAAAGGTGTGCCAGGAGACAGGGATGAAGCCAGGATGAAGCCCAAAGTTGCCGGCCAAGTTCAGTCCCCAGGGGACGTTCCACTGGGGGCTTCTGATTGGATCCTGGGTGGCACACAGCCCAGGCCGGCCCATGCATGCCCTGCCCCGGGGCAGACACACCACACCCGGGAGAGGGTGGTCCACTCGATAGCCCGTGCTGCCCAGAGCTGTTCGGGCCAAGAATTAAAGCCCCCGCACCACAGCATCTCACGCTTGGAGCTTGACCCCCAGAGAGTGTGGTGGGAGGAGTGGCGGGGGCTTCTGCAGAGTTCCCCAACGGCCGGGTCCAGAGGCTGGACTGTTTTGGAGAGAGAAGACAGGCAGCTTCCTGCGGTGCTTGGAGGGTGCAGGTGACAGAGAGGAGACGTGAGGCCGTCACCCCTGATGTGAACTTGCTGCAGCCGGGCAGGGGCTTCGTGAGGCCTGGCCCTGGGAAGGGGGGGGGGGGGGGGGGGGGGGGGGGGGGGGGGCTCTGTGGCCATGGCCAGGATGAAGGAGAAAAACACGGGGTCTGAGTTGGAGTCCTGCTTCGTCCCCTTTGAGGCCGGCTCGTGTGTCCTATTTAGCAAGACGCTGCCTCCCCTGGACCCGCTGAGAGCTGGCTGTGCCGTCCCAGAGTCAGTCTGTGGCAGGGACAGAACCAGAGGAGTGGAGTGCTCCTGGGGGCTGCACCCTTCACGGCCTCTCAGGAAGCTGGTTTCCCGTGGACGACCTTAGGGGCCTCACGCAGCCCTCGTCACCCGTGACAGAGGACGTGTCCTCAGTCGTGTCTCAGCTGCTCACGTGAGAGCTAGAGACTCAGATCTTAAGAAAGACATCAGGTTAGCAAGCTATGAGCCTGCAGGTCCATCAAAACCTCAGCAAGCCTGAGGCTCAGCTGGTGCTCAGGCTGCCTCCTGCCAGCAGCCCGTCACGCCCCCCTGCCACGCCCAGGTGTCTGGGAAGGCAGTGGCCGCCACACAGTCAGCACATCCCCAGAGGAGGGGCCTGGTCTCAGGCCACAGCGGCCAGGCTCCCAGGAATGCCCATCGCCTGCTCTTCCCCCTCAGGCCCCCGGGGCCAACGTGGGGATCCCTCTCCTCAGGCCTGGCTCCACCTCCGGAGAGATGCAGAGTGGGTCCCTGGGCCCCAGGTGGAGGGCAGCGTGTAAGCATCCCGCCTTGGAGGACACGTGTCCCCCACTTCCACGGCTCTGTGCACAGACATGCCTCGTGAGCAGTCAGGCTGCTCTCTTGCAATGGCGTCCTCCCTGGGGACCCAACATCATCTCCTCTCTCTGCTCCTCACACAGCCACGGGCAGCCGGGTCCACAGTCCCCTGGGCACTTGCTGGGCACTGCCCACCTGTGGCCCCGACCTGTCCAAAGCTTGGCCACTTCAGAAGCCGCAGCCCTAGGGAGTCATACCGCCTGCAGAGGTCAAGCTGCCCGCAAGGGTCACAGTCACACAGCAGGCTCTGGGCCCAGAATTGGGAGCGACTGTGAGTCCAGGACCGTGTGACACCAGAGCACAGGGTCTCCAGCCCTGCCCGGCCGGGTCCAGCGCGGCGGACCCAAGGTCTGATCTGAGAACAAGGTGGATGCTTGCCGGGCAGGGCCCCTGCACCACCACCTAGTCTGGGGCTGGCTCGGGAACCCGGGCCCAGCCCAATGCCGCCTCTCCATGGCCTCCGAGCACCACATCCAGACTCCATGATCGGTAACACTGCTGCAAAGAGCAGGGCGAGGACCAGCCCTGCACTGTAATTAAGAACCAATGGCCGGACCGACTCTCCCGAACCCCAGGGCACCCCGAGCGCTCCGCGCAACAGCGCAGACGCTGCCCCAGGCTTTACCTTTTCCTCCACGACTGGCGAGGACTGCAGGGCAGCGACAGACAAGGGCCAGCACACAGCGGCAACAGCACAGAGGGCGAGACGAGAAGACAGTATTAGAGGGCAGAGGTCAGGAGCTCAGGTCACACGTGCTCACACGGAGGGTGAGTGTGTGGTGCGGGCCAACGGCCAGGCACCCCACTCTGGACTTCCCTCCACAGGAACAGACACGTGGAAACACGTAGACATCTGCACGCGACAGACACACAACACAGACACATGACCCTCTCCGCTTCACCGAGAGGCCCCCAAGTGGGGCCTGTGCAGGCGAACAGGTTGCACACATACTCTGCACAGGGAGGAGGGCGAGTGCCGTCTGGCACACGTGGGCACGTGGGGATGGAGCACGCGTCACACATACCCTAACCCACGTCTCTAAAGACACACAGACTAAGAAGACCAAGCCAGGAGTGAAGAAAACGCCGGAGTAGGTTTTGCAGCGATCGGTGGCTTCCAGCACCGGTAGCCTCCAGGAGGGGCCAGAGAGACTGAACTTGGAAGCTGGGGCAGACATACATCTGTCCCCAAAGAGCTGCGGCAGGAGAGGGACACCCTGGAGAAGCAGGTCAGGATGGTGGGGGGGGAGGGGCCTCCCCGGGCCCCCAGGTGCAGTAGCGCAAGAGAAGGCTCATGCTTCCTGTTTCCACCTGCACTCCCTCTGGGAACGTGGGGTAGAGGCTGTTCACCCGGAAACAGTCCTGAGCAGTCAGACACGCACAGTGCACCCTCAGAGAGTGTGGGCTGCGGGCACGCGATGCAGGAGAGGTGGCCGGTTTCGCGGGCTGCTGAGGAAGTTCAACGCCGAGGGGCCGGCTAGCAGGGCGATGGCGGCCGTGCAGACCCACAGCAACCCCCTCCACCCCCCATCCAGACAAGTGCCGCTCCGGCCATCACCAGGCAGGAGCACCTTCCTCTTCGTGGCCAGAGGGACCCGGCAGAGGCCGACCGTATCCAAGGAGGTCTCGGCTGACAGCTCAGGTGCGTTCTTCCTGCGAGTAGGACTCTCTCACACAGGTGGGGCTCTGGCTCAGGAAGGTTTGTTAACGGACTGCTGACAGCCTAGAGACCATGGTGACTACATACCCCTCGACCGTGGGGTTCCCTTCTAGTAGGATCAAATCAGGGAGAAGAGGCTCGGCGGATATCCGCACCAGAGCCCCTCCCTCTCCTGGACAGCCACCAGGTCCGTGTTACAAAAGAAGGGGCTCCTGTGGGCTCTTGCCAGAGTCCCCCCTCCCCCCCACCGAGGGCGGTACGGTCTACACCAACAGGAGGTGGACTGTCAGCTGAACGGAAGACACCTGTTCCTTGCTGAACAGGTTGTGGGGCTGCTTATGACCATCCCGGGGCCCGGAGGGAGGAGAGCGCACAGAGCTTCCACAAACGGCCGTGGGGCCTCGGAGGGGACCCTAGACGGGACCCTGTGAGCCGGCCCCTCTCGAGTTTGAGTCTTGACCAGCAGAAGGGTGGCACCCGCAACGGGCTGGAGCCCAGCTCCGACACCAGGGAGGCTGGAGGGCCTGGTGCCGTGCTCCGTCCAGACTGGCTCAGGGTCGAGGGAGCCACAAGACATGCGGGAGAGCAGGTTCCCAGACCAGGTCCTGCGTCCGGCGCACATGGAGACATCCACGGAAAGCAACCCCATCCTGCAACCGTGGGGCCTCTTCCACATCCAGGAAGAAACTGAGGCCTGACCCGGCCCCCGGTGACGGCCAGGATGTTCGGTGCCCGGCTTCGTAACTTGCGCAGCTTCTGCTTTTTGCTGAGCCTGCGTCATCCTGAGGTTCTGCGCATCCCTGGGGCCCAGCGTGCTGACCCCTCGTAGAACCCTGCACGCTCATGGCCTCCAAGTCCTGAATTCAGAAGTCACACCTTCCCGGTTTCTGGGAAAACTGGGCCCTTCTCCCTGGGCTCTCTCCTTTGTGACCTTTGAGGTGCTCCTGTCCTAAAGGAGGCTGGTAGGGAAACAGCCTGAAGGTTCTGGAATGCTGCAGCTCTCAGGAACTGGCCACGAGCCCAGCCCCAGCCCAGACTGCCCTGACCAACTCCCCACAGAAAACAACACAAAGACCCCTGCCCCAGGTTAGCATTCTAGTGCCGCTGCTCAGAAATCTTCCCGGCACCTCTGAGTGCAGGAGTGAGGACCTCACAGTGCACTCAAGAGAAAATCTCAGCCGTGAACCAGTAGCTTGCGAGATCGCTATATCCCTCCTTCAGACATCTGTGACCCAGAAACGATACCTACAGAGTTCTGTCATTCAAACCGTTTGGTCCGTATGCCCTCACTAGCTGGTGCTGACTCAGCTAACGAACAACACAGTGTGTGACACCTCCCTGGGGCGTGAGAATTCACTGCAGGGAAGCGTCCTCAAGGGCCGGCGCCCCCGCTCCCCGCGAGAAGCAGGGGGGCTGTGAAAAACAGGCTGACCGTCCCTGCACCTCCTTTCCTAGGTCCTGCTAGGCCTTCTTCACATGCGTGCTCAGTGCTTCTGTTTTCAAGTCAGACGCCTCTAGCACAGGATACAACAGCTCTGCCCGCTGGTAAAGACCGTGGTCGGCAACGGTCACAGCGGCAGGGCCTGAGCCCTCCTGTCTGTGGCATGACCCATTGAAGAGGCGGGCACGGAGAAAGCTTTCGCAGCCAGCAAGGGCTTCATGCAACGTGACCATGACTTGAGGCCTTGGCCTGCAGGAATGACGGGCCACCGCTGGAAATGGACCCATCACCAAGCTCGATCTGGGGGACCTGGGATTCCAACCTCCGGCCCCTCCTCCGACCTACTAGAGACTTGGGACTTCTGTCCCGGCCCACCCGGCCCAGGTCCGTAACCTGGGTCTCCCCAGGCCAACTCCCTCAAGTTGCCGACACCCTCGAGAAGTTCGCTGACAGTCCGCTCCTTTGGGCCTTATCCCGACTGAAGGGCACAGAGTGGGGAGAAAGCAGCTGGCCTCGGCAGGCCTCTCTCCACCCCCCAAATAAAACCAGCGGAGCTCCTGGACTCAGACCAGTGAGGGCCTCTGGATCTGCTGGTGCCACCCTGGCCTGCAGTAAGAATGTGGCTCCACGCGGCGGTCACCAGGCTGTCTAGGCCTCTTCCCCACCCACGCATCAGTGCTCGTGATTCGAGGTAGTTAAGGCCCACAGTCACGGAGACCTGGATTAGCGAATGAGACACACACGCCTCACAGAGATCAGAACCTTCGTTCCTGACTCCTCCTGGGAGATTCCACTTGCTATGTTTTACAAAGCAGAAAATGGGGTGTGGAAGAGGCTGCTCCAGGACAGGGGCCAGAGCTGGGCTTCCAACGTCCCTGAGCGGCCCTGGTCCGGGCGTGCCACACAACGCTGCACCGCCCCGCCCGCCTCCACGCTCTGGGCGTCTCTGCACCTGTCTGTGCGTGACCCCAGAAGCCCCACGAGTGTCGATGGGAGGCCACAGGCAAGTTTTAGTGAGTAGGTGGGTCCAGAAACAAGGCCCTGAGATGATCAGGAACGGCCACCCCATTATCCCAGGGCCTTTGTAATCGCACATGGCCAGCAGGAGGGCCACCCCGTTCCCCCGGACCGGCTCGGGCGCCAGGGGCTCGGGCGGGGCACGTTCCTGCTCCAGCCACGTACCCCGGCCAGGAACCCGAGTCAGGGAGAAGCAGCTCTCCGGAGCGCCCCCTGCCCTCCCGGCCCAGGCACCTCGGGGATGAGGGAACCAGAGAGGCTGCCACCTCCAGCTTCCCGCCTTACCTCCTCCCAGGCAGGCTGCCCTCGGTTTGGCTGTTTCCCCCAACCTGCTGCATCTTGGACCTCTCGATATGTTCTACGTAGGTCTGGATCATCTGTGGAGGAGGAGGCTGCCATGTGAGTCGTTCCCACTGACCCCGGCCCCTCTCCCCTCCTCTAACTGTGGTACTTTCCAGGCCCGCTGTGCTCCGACAGCAGTAAAAACGACGCTCGCGAAAGGGAGTCTGGCCAGCACGTGGCTAACCGCTTTCTGGCTGGGGCAGGAGAAACCGGAAGTAAAGGCCAGAAGCCTCGCACGGCTGCTGGGCCGCGGGAGGGCACCCACCTCTGTGTGTCGCTGGTGCAGGGCGTTGTACTCCTTCTTCATCTCGGACTCTCTCTCCTCCAAGCGGGAAACTAGAAAACACAGCCGCCGCGTGTCAACGGCACAACCCACATCTCCACGCCCCCTCACTTCCCCTCCGGGCTCGGCACGTGGGCAGAGGGTCCCAGGACAAACTGATGCCTGGTGCAGAGGGCCACCCTCAGGAGAGAACGCCGGGGCCGCCAGAAGGCAGGTCCTGGCTGGTCTGGGCGGCACCTGGTGTGCTCAGTCCTGCCACGAGGAGAACCAGGGTGCCTGAAGCTCGGCCACGGGCGACTGGCTGCGTCTGAGCTGGCCAGCGGCCCCCGAGACGGAGTCAGGTGCGGACAGGACTCCAGCAAGTGGCTTGTACAAGGGGGCAGAGTTCATACGTGAGTAGCCTCCGTGCCGAGGCAAAGAGCAGAAGACATCTGAAATGTGGGACGGGACACACAAGTGTCCCTTACACGTACCAAAGGCTGCAAAGACCACGCCGTGACCTGCCACCTCCGGGCACGGGGGTTCCCCCTGAGTTGACAATCCCTGCCCCTCAGCAAGGGCCACTCTGGCCACGAAATGCAGGGAAGTCACCCGAATGCCCCACAGGCCTGCTGGGGAGCTCACGAGACAGCCAGGCACCCTGCACCTGTGCCCCACCGAGCAAGCGTGCGGCCAGGACACCTTCCGCCTGTGGCCCTCTGTTCAAACTTCAGCTGTGTCCTTTCTCCGTCACGAAAACGTCTACTCATGGGTCACCCTAAGGTTGACTTTTAAACAGAGACTTGTGAAAACCGAAACAATGCTTCTCATAACAACCCTCATCCAAAAGCACTCCATTGCCCCTGCATGCAGGGGACACAGTGATCCTGCAGGCCCCCGGCCAGCCCGGCACCCCCAGGCAGGGCCACGCCGGCGGGCTCCCTCAGCAGGCCTGGCCTCCCGACCACCCAACAGCGGCGTCCCCTCGGTGCCACGCAGACAGGGGCCCGCACCGCACGGGAGCTGTAACCCAAGGGGTCACACGGGATGGCGCGCTGGCCCAGTCTGGCTCGGACTGCAGCCTGAAGCCAAAATGCTTTGTCATCAAAGGAGCCTCGTTTACTTATTTCCACAAGGAATCGGAGGCTGATTACGGGAAATGCGTGGCAGCGTAAAGAAGTAAGACAAAGGGTAGGGCGAGTGACAGTGCGGGTAGAATATGGCTGTCCCGGGCTCCCTCGCTCTCCTTTCATCAAAGGCTCTCAACATCCTTCCCAGCTGGGGTCAGCCTGGGAACAACAGACACATTCAAATGCCGGTCCCCCTCTGGCGGGCCACTTACTCTGATCCGCGTAGTTCTTGGCCTTCAGTTCCAGCTGGCGGGTCTGAAACTCATAATGTTCCACCTGGATTTGCAGCTCTTTCTTCTCCTGTTCCAGGGCATCTTCAAACTCGATGAATTTCTACACGCGGGAGGAGAAACAGAGCAGGCGCGTCGTGAACGCGGGATGCCAGGCGACAGCAGCCTCTCACAGAGGGGTCAAAGGCTTCCGGGACCGACATTCACAGGCTCCCGAGGCCACACGGCCTGTCACCCTCAGGCAGCAAACCCCGACACACGGGGGCCCCTGAGGAGGGACCAGAGTTTCCCAAGAAACCTTCGGTGTGCGTGGGGGGCTCCGTCGGTTAAGCATCAGACTCTTGATCTCCACTCAGGTCATGGTCTCACGGTTGATGAGTCTGAGCCCTGTGTCCGGCTCTGCACTGATGACAGAGGCTACTTGGGGTTCTCTCTCTCGTCTCTGTCCCTACCCCGCTTGTGCTCTTTCTCCCTCTCTCAAAATAATAAATACCCTTATTAAAAAAAAAGGGGGGGGGCTCACGCCTGGTTTAATGTTCTGCTGTTGCCATCCTGCAATTCCTACTAGTATTTGAACAAGGGACCCCACAGTTCCATTTCCACACTGGGCCCCACAAGTCGGGTACCTGGTCCTTTTGCAACAGAGTGACATTACTCCTCTCGATACCACAACACACCTAAACGAGGTCAAGTCTACTTGGCTCTTCATCTGTATTCCAATTGCCACTCAGTTCAGGAAGCCATCAGTACTGGAATAACCAGCAATGGAGATCGGTCTTTGGAATCTTTCCCTTACATGCTAAGTAGCTAAGCAAAATTATCATCAAATCGAGTGAAAAGAAAGCACTTTGAAAAAAAAAAAAAAAAAAAGGACAATTCTTGGGACTCCCGCGTGGCTCAGTCAGTTAAGCGTCTAACTCTTGATTTCCGTTCAGGGCAGGATCTCAGGGTTCATGGGATGGAGCCCCGCATCAGGCTCTGCACTGACAGTGTGGAGCCTGCTTGGGATTCTGTCTCCCTCTCTCTCTCCCCCTCCCCTGCTCACACTCTGTCTCTCAAACAAACATCAAAAGCAAATGATTACTACCAACAATTACATGATACGCAAATTCGTGAAGCGTTCCCTATTTTTGTGTTGTATGGAAACCAATTTGACAATAAATTTCATATTAAAAAAACAAAACATAACAAGCCTAGTAAAAATAAATAAATTACAATTCATTTGAAAAACAAAAAGCGATTTCGTTTGTAGGAAGCAGGAGTATCAGCTACATTAACACATGAAGAGTTTCTCAGAAGATGGGAATACAGGGGTGCCTGGGTGGCTTTGCCAGCCAGGCGCCCAACTTCAGCTCAGGTCACGATCTCATGGTTCCTGGGTTTGAGCCCCGCGTCAGACTATGTGTTGGCAGCTCAGAGCCTGGAGCCGGCTTCAGATTCTGTGTCTCCCTCTCTCTCTGCCCCTCCCCAGCTCACATGGTCTCTCTCTCTCAAAAATATACAAACATTAAAAAAATATATTTTTTTTAAAGAGATGGGAATATAAAACTGATGGCTGGTCTTGGGTTTCGGGCATCTGGAAGAGTGCCGGAACAACTGCACCCAGGACCCACCGGCTCCAGGCCTTTGTGCCCCAAGCCGACTTGTCTGTGCCCAGCGGGGGAGGGCGGGAACCCCGGGGGAGGGGCAGACAGGCGCCCCAGGAGCAGGAAAATGCACGCTGATGGTGCGGCTGCGCACAAAATACAAGTCAGTTGTTCTGTGTGCTTGGGACTGAATCAGTGTGTGAAGAATAAACTGTTGTTAACAGACTGATAAGGATATTTTTTAAACTGGGTAATTTTAATTCCCATTATTTAAAAAAAAATTATGTTGGGGCACCTGGGTGGCTCAGTCGGTTAAGCATCTGACTTCGACTCAGGTCACGATCTCGTGGTTTGTGGGTTCGAGCCCCGCGTCGTGCTCTGTGCTGACAGCGCAGAGCCTGGAGCCTGCTTCGTATTCTGTGTCTCCTCCTCTCTCTGCCCCTCCCATGCTCATGCTCTGTCTCTCAATAATAAATAAACATTAAAAAAAAATTTTTTTTTTAATTATGAAAATAATGAAACGTAAGGGCGCCTGGGTGGCTCAGTCGGTTGAGTGGGCAACTCCTGATTTCGGCTCAGGTTATGAGCCCAGGGTTGTGGGATGGAGCCCCACGCTGGGCTCCATGCTGAGTGTGGAGACTGCTTGGGATCTTTCTTTCCCTCCGTCCCTCCCTGCTCATGTTCTCTATCCCTCTCTCAATTTAAAAAAAAAAGAGAGAAGAATGAAATGTAAACAACATGTGCTTTTGTAGGAAAATCAGGTGAGAGAGCGTGAAGTAAAAAGAAGGCTATTTCTTTTTTTTTTTTTAATTTTTTTTTAACATTTATTTATTTTTGAGAGAGAGAGAGAGAGAGAGAGAGAGCATGAACAGGGAGGGTCAGAGAAAGAGGGAGACACAGAATCCGAAACAGGCTCCAGGCTCTGAGCTGTCCGCACAGAGTCCGAAGCGGGGCTCGAACCCACAGACTGTGAGATCACGACCTGAGCCGAAGTCGGACGCTTAACCGACTGAGCCACCCAGGCGCCCCAAGAAGGCTATTTTCAAGAAACCACAATTCTGCTCTCTGGAGTCGGTTTAAGATTAGGAGGTGTTCTTCCAGATGTGTGTGGGTGTGGGTGCACAGGGCAGACGTGCAATCTCTTGTACACAGGGTCGCGTGGCCTGATTTACTCGGTGGCTTCGGGCAGAGCTTCTTTCTACATCCAGAAACACTCTACCACCTCCTCCGTGAGAAGCGGTGCGTGCAGAGCAGATTCCGTCCCGTGGATTACCCGCTGTCGGGGCTTCCGGGCTGCTCGCACACGCCCGTTATTGGGGTCACTGCCTGCGCAAAGGCACGATGGCTACCTGCTCTCGAAGGCTGTGATCACACTCGGCTGATGACCCTTCGGCAGGGTCGCCCAGCTCCGGCTCCCCCGGGGCTAGGGCAGCAGCCCTTCCCAGAGCCCCCCGCTGCCTCGGCACAGAGCTTAACCAGAATGCTGCCAGCCGCACGCGTGGGAAAGCGACCGGCCACGATCGTCCCGGCTTTCAGTTCCCTGCTGACTCTGCTAGTGAACATTTTCCACAAACCGACCCGGTACATACTGCACCTCTTCCACGAGCAGCTCGCTACGTCCTGGCCCAGCGTCCTACGACCGTGTCCCCGCTGCTCTCCGTGATCCGCAAGGACTTCTACTGTGCCTGCTCGAGTCTGTCTCACAGGCTACAGACGCGCCCCAGGACGCGGCTGGGTGCGCACACTGTGCAAGTTGACTTAATGGTCTCTCCTGTCCCGTTGCTTTGAAATGCCACCTTTATCACAGGCAAAACCCTAGTAGAGATTTCGGTCTGTCTGTGAGCCAGTACCAGGGGGCTTTCTGAACGTGGACTGTTAACGTTACCCTTCAATACCTGTTCCACACTCATCCTCTCAAGTCCCCTTTCAACGTTTTCTTGGTTATTCCCACTTGCTCATCCTTCTAGAGTGGAGCTTCTTTCTACATCCAGAAACACTCTACCACGTCCGCCGTGATAGAGCACCGTGTGGAGTCACTTCTGTATTTATTTTTGAAGAAGCAGTTTCCCTGTCTCTAAGCACCAGCTCTCTGCACCTCTGGAAGGGTTCCCGGTTTTTGGTGACCAAGTCCTCAGGGCTGGGATGAAGAGAAAAGTCATCGCGAGCCCGTCGAGGGCTGTTTGACAGAAGACGGAAAATTCTCCCTTCCTTTACACCGACCCCACCCGGGGCCAGCGGCACCACTGTGGTTTCACACAAAGAAGGGACCACGTCGTGACAACCGTCCCGTCTCTATTTCGTCACATGTTACTTGCACCTGACATGTGGAAACCAGCTAAGGGATTTCCAAACTAAAGACCGTGTCAGAAAGCTGTCCTTCCCAGGTTCTTACGAAGCTCAAGACAGACTTTCTTAAGTGTATCCTGATAGGTGATGATTAAAATTTTTTAACGTCTATTTTTGAGAGACAGACAGAGAGCAAGCAGGGGAGGGGCAGAGAGAGAGGGAGACAACAGAATCCAAAGCAGGCTCTAGGCTCTAAGGTGTCAGCACAGAGTCTGACGTGTGGCTCGAACCCACGAACCATGAGATCATGACCTGAGCCGAAGTCGGACGCTTAACTGACTGATCCGCCCAGGAGCCCCCCCCCCACCCCCGACAGGTGATCATTAAAATCAACCTAAGTGCCAGTGCCGGAAAGCTTTGCCACGGAACACAACCACCGACGTGTCTGCAGATTCCCGATGAAGCCAGCCCCAAACCAGACCACAGCAGAAGTCCTCTGACCTTGGCATGTTACGGCTTTCAGCGTCGAGAAGGATGGAGACACTGACCAGGAGCAAGCACCAAGTGAAGCTATGAACACGGGCATCCTTAAGGCCAAAGGCGAAGGGCACACAGGGGGCAGGGACACAGAGCCCACGGTGGGTAAGCAGGGCATCTGTGGTTCTCGGGCTGCGTGGAGCCCTGTGCCCAAGGAATGGCCCTACGGGGCGGGAACCACTCCATCCTTAGGGATGGGTCTCTTCCACCCTCTCGCACCCCTGCTCAAAGGCACGTGGGTGCTCACGTGGAGCAGCCCCTCGGGTGAGCCCAAGTGACCACCAGCAGATGTGAGGACCCTGGCCTCGGGCCCACTCTCTCCACGCTGGCTTCTGGACCACGGCGTGTGCGGTGGGGAGCCCCTGTTCCTGGGCTCCCTGACGTCAGCACCCTACCAGACAGAACGGACTGGGGGCCCCGCAAGGCCTCTGGGTCTGTGACAGCATTACAGACATGACGTGGCATGGACAGCTTGCAAGAAATCCTCCTCTCTTCCCCTCTTGAAGGAATTATTTCAGTGTCATTAAAGTAACTCTGGTTAACAACAGCGCAAGCCTGCCATTCACCCGAAATAGAACACGCAATGGAATCTTCATCAAATATTAGAGGGAACAAATAACGTGGAGGAACAGTGCCTGGTCGAGACGCCATACGGAATCTTTGCGTTTTAGCAGGACACGCTCAGAGCTAGACTCGGGAAGAAGCGCATGTCATCTGGACAAGTGAGGGAGAAGGCAGGGGCGCCCTGGCTGGCAGCGAGCTCAAGAGAGAAGCAAGGAGGCTGCCAACCCCAGCTCCCCGGGCACAGGGGTGGGCCACGTGGGGGAGGGGCTGGTAGCAGGACACTGTATCATCTGGGTGAGCAAAGTCACCCCAAATTCGATAGATGGCTTCAAAAAAGCAGAAAATATTAAAAAAAAATTTTTTTTAACGTTTATTTATTTTTGAGACAGAGAGAGACAGAGCATGAACGGGGAGGGTCAGAGAGAGGGAGACACAGAATCTGAAACAGGCTCCAGGCTCTGAGCTGTCTGCACAGAGCCCGACACGGGGCTCGAACTCACAGACCACGAGATCATGACCTGAGCCGAAGTCGGCCGCTTAACCAACTGAGCCACCCAGGAGCCCCAGAAAATATTTTTAATTAGATACCACTTAGTTTAGATTTAAGGGAATCAAGAGTTTTCAGTGGTGGCAGACAGGGTAGGGTGGAGAATAAGTAAAGTCTGTAAAGAAAATCTTCCAAAATTTTAAAAGTAGAATCTGACGAGGGGCGCCTGGGTGGCTCAGGCAGTTAAGAATCTGACTCTTGATCTCAGCTCAGGTCATGATCTAACGGTCTGTGAGTTCGAGCCCTACTTTGGGCTCTGGGCTGACAGGGTGGAGCCCGCTTGGGATGCTCTCTCTCCCTTTCTCTGTGCCCCTCCCCCACTCGCAGGAGCTCACATGTGGGCTTTCTCTCTCAAAATAAATCAACAAGCATTAAAAAAAAAAGAATCTGTGGGGCGCCTGGGTGGCTCAGTCAGTTGAACACCCGACTTCGGCTTGTGTCATGATCTCGCAGTTGACGAGTTCGAGCCCCGCGTCGGGCTCTGTGCTGACAGCTCAGAGCCTGGAACCTGCTTCTCATTCTGTGTCTCCTTCTCTCTCTGCCTCTCCCCCCGTTCATGCTCTGTCTCTGTCTCAAAAATAAAGATAAACGTTAAAAAAAAAAATGAAAAAAAAAAAAGAATCTTTTACAAAATAGGACTACAACTGACAAGAATAAAAATCTGACCGTCAGCATTTGGGCTGTGTGGGTCTGCATGGTACTGAAGACACAAAAACAAAAATCTCCCACCGGAACCCACTCTACACATAGTAGCATCTCAGGCCCAAAGGTGTCCAGAAGGCGTGACTGCAGCAGAGCGAAAACTCGGTGCACATGCTGACTATACGTACCACGGGTTTGATGCATTTGAAGTTAACCATCTGTCTAACCAAGTCTCCTCAAAATATCACGAAGCACAGGATAACGCACAGTGTTTACGGTCACTCTTGTGACAAGTCTTTTGAGCGCCCCAAAGAGCAAGGACCGGCCAACACACAGTTGAGGAAAACGCGTCCTATTCTCAGCATCTAGACATCAAACACCGAAGGCGCACTTCTAAATACCAAGAGACCACACAATTCTCTTTTTCGATTTGTTTTAAGGAGTCTGTCCCCTCTCTCCCATGAACAAAGTGCTGTTTTATTTTATTTTATTTAAAAAAATTTTTTTTTCAACGTTTTATTTATTTTTGGGACAGAGAGAGACAGAGCATGAACAGGGGAGGGGCAGAGAGAGAGGGAAACACAGAATCGGAAACAGGCTCCAGGCTCTGAGCCATCAGCCCAGAGCCCGACGCGGGGCTCGAACTCCCGGAACGCGAGATCGTGACCTGGCTGAAGTCGGACGCCTAACCGACTGTGCCACCCAGGCGCCCCCAAAGTGCTGTTTTAAAGTGAAACTAGGGGTGCCTGGGTGGCTCAGTCGGTTAAGCATCCAACTTCAGCTCAGGTCATGATCTCATGGTCTGTGAGTTTGAGCCCTGTGTTGGGCTTTGGGCTGACAGCTCAGAGTCTGGAGCCTGCTTTGGACTCTGGGTCTCCCTCTCTCTCTCTCTCTGAAAAAGAAATAAACATTAAAAAAAAGTTAAACTCAACTTTGGTTTTCGAACTTGCTTTCAGGTGAATTTCAAGACACACACTGAAATAACCTGAGTGCGGGCTCTTTCTAACTCAGAGCCAGAGAATTTCCTCAGTGTTCCATGGAATGAGGTCATTCATCCCAGTGTGTCCATAAAAGCAAAGGTAAGAAGTAAACCGACCTTTTGTGTCAAATATAAAATTAAAAACACAGCAGAAATCAGTATCCCTAATTCCCACAACGTAAGAGAGATTATCAGGTAAACACTTTTTATAACATAATCATTAATTCTGGAAACTTCCATAACACAAGGTTATTTTAATGGCAAAGTAAGTTAACATATTCAATCTAATCCTTCCCTCATATGTGTCCTTTAGGGCAGGGTCATACACAGGAAATAATTCAATTCTGGCTGGTTTGTTAGAAGAGAATCCAGGGGCGCCTGGGTGACTCAGTCAATTAAGCATCCGACTCCAGCTCTGGTCACGGTTCTCACAGTTCGTGGGCTGGAGCCCTGAGTCAGGCTCTGTGCTGACAGCTCAGAGCCTGGAGCTTGCTTCGGATTCTGTGTCTCCCTTGCTCTCTACCGCTCCCCTGCTCAAAGTCTCTCTTTCCCTCTCAAAAATAAATAAATAAACATTAAAAGAAAAAAAAAATGAACCCAACAGAAATCAAAGACCTTGTTTTTTTGCATCAGTCATCATTTAATTCCTTCTGGGGTGGTGCAGGGATAGAGCAGATTTCCGAAAAAAGTCCTCTTTTTTGGACTTTTAGGCAGGCCGGGCAGTAAACAGTTGGGGTGCTGGGCACAGACTTCATGCACAGGGGGAGGCGCCCTGCTCCTGGAGGCTGACCCCCTGCACGGTGATGGCACTCATGAAATGTTTACCGGGCTCTCCCTGGGGCGATGAATCCCTAAGACCTCACACCACAGATGTTCTTTTACAGCTTGCTTTCCAACGGTGTCACCACGTAGACCATGAAACGCAGTGTGGGCAGCGGGGCGGAGCAGCCGGGAAGTTACCCCCAGGTACCAGCCCGCTGAGCCCAGGGGGTGGCCCACAGGGTGAGAGAGGAAAGTGCACTTTTGTATTCTGGTAGGATGCACACCTGTGGGGGGCCAGGCCGTGCAGGAATCCAAGAATCAGGCTGGATTCACAGAAAAAGCAGAAGTTTCTCACATTCGTGTCACAGGGACCACTGGTTTAGCAACCGCCTGAACCGAATCCCAATAAATGGCGATGGTTTAATTCACACTGACTTCTAAGGATTGGCAAGACAGGAAAAATATCTTTTATTTTTATGTCTCAAAAAAGATTTTTATGGGTGTGTTTACATACCAAGTATTAGCATATACTTTATATGTTAAGTATATGCTATATAAAACACACACACCAGATACACAAAATACCTGACGTGGGTGGTAACGTGGGACAGAAGGCCGAGTCTCTCTCAGGGGTGTGCCCGGCTCCTTGCACGCGCTTGCCCGCCCCGTTCGTACCTGGCCCCTGCTCCTACGAGGCTGAGAGCACGCGTGCCAGGGGCACTCTGTCTGGCCGTTCCGTGGGCACAGGGGGCTGCTGTCTAGAAACGAACATGGCCGGCGTGACAGAGACCCTGAGCCACACGCGTGAGCAGGCACCCACGGGCTTCCACAGTGCTGAGGAGGGGGCTGGGAAGGCCGGGGAAGGACCCATGAAGCAGCAGGGCATCTGGACAGCGGGCAGAGTTCCTGGGGACGGGAGCCCAGAGACTCTTATGAGACGTGTCGCTTTGAACCTGTCGCTATTGACAATCAGAATCTAAACTTGCCAGCCTTTGCCCCACAAGGCCTCCCGAACAAGGGGTAGTCCTCGGGGACAAGGACCTGTCCCCACCTAACCTGGCATTCCCCAAATCTCCTGGCCATAAGAGGTGATGACTACGCGGGCTCCAAGTATCTGCTGTCAGCCACCCACTGCTCGTGGCCTCTCCTGGGTTCGGGGTGTCTCCCCAGGACCCCCGCAGGCAGGGGCTCCGGGCTGGCCTGTCCCAAGCTACAGCAGCAGGGCCTTGGGCCGCGGACAAATGCACCTCCCCACTTCACCGGCACGGGCGGGATGGACAACGGGGCCAGCTCAGCAGTAAGGGGAGGGTACGGACAACACCTGCAAGAACCCGGATGAGTCTCAAAGTCATTACACAGAAAGACGCCGGACCAAAAAAAGACCAAAAACTGCACGATTCTATTTATATAAAGTTCTAGAAAACGCAAACTAATCTACCGTGACGGAAAGCGGATCAGCGGTTCCCTGGGGGTGGGGGACGCAGGGAGAGGCCACTGAGGGGCAGAAGGAAACTTCAGGGATGGTGGCGACCATCGTCACCCTGACCGCGGGGACGGTTTCTGGGTGTGAACAGGTCAACACTCGCCACACTGCACAAACGCATACAGTGTAGCGCGTTGAAGGGAAGACGCGGCCGGGGTCCCAGATCTCCACCTGGGCCGTGACGCCAGCCATTTTGTGGGCGCTGGGGATTTCTCGACAGGTTCTTCCCAGCCTTTCGAGAATTCCCTCGCCTCCTGCTCTTTCCCGAACAGCTGCCATTCTTTTGTTGTCGCTTATGTCACAATATTTTGCTTCTGTCTGGTCTCCCGTGTCCAGTCCTCCTGCTCTGGGTGCTCTCCTCTTTCGGACCACAATCACTGCCAGCGGCTCCCTTTCTGGCCCGAGGCTGTGTAAGGGGATGCCTCCTGCCTGCCCTGCCTGCCCTGCCTGCCCAGGGCGGGGCCGCTGATGCTGTGGCTGTTTACGGGAATTAAAGTGACATAAAGTAAAAACTCACTTCCCCTGCGGCCCGAGCCACCTGTGCAGTGTCAGTGATGCCATGCGGTCACTGGCTATTGAACCGGACAGCTGCCCCGTAGACTCAGTGGTGGAGGCCTTGCCCTCCGGGAACTAGGACGGTTGGGTGTGGTGTGCACTGAGGCAGAGGAAGACCGCTTCCCTCATCCTCATGCGCAAGGGCAGGGCCCACTCCCGGGTAGGGTGGGCCGACTGGGGCGACAGGGCCCCTCCCTCTGGTCGGGCACTCATCCATCCAAGCACCCAGCATCTGGATGTGTCCACAAAGCCCCCGCGCCAGACGCTGGGGAGGCAGGGGTGCACGGGGACTGGAAGACCATGCAGAGGGGCAGCGTGGGGGGAGCAGAGCGTGGTGCAGGGAGCTGGCCAGAGTGAGGTGGGCCTGGCCGGTTCAAGCATGGGGGTGGGGTGTCGTCTCTGTCCATCTACCCACAGTAGTCCTGTCCCCACTTTTCACCCCGCATCCCGTGCCCCCACTGCACGGGAACATGGAGCTGCATCTCCCCCCGTACTTCCCCCCCCCCCAGACCTATCCCCAGAGCCTGCAGCCGAGCCTGGCACTCAGTGGGCTCTGGTGAACGAGGACACGGGTGGGTGCAGGCCCGGATGGGACGTGTCTTTGGAAAAGTCCCCTCTGGTGGAGGAGGGGTTGGGACAGGGAGAGAGGCTGGCAGGCCAGCGTGACGATGCCGACTGGAACCAGGACCGTGGCAAAGGAGACCAAAAAAGCACGGGAAGCCTAAAGTCAGGCCACAAGAATGGCCAGGACTCAGTGACTGTGGGGCTTGGGAGGTAACGTCCTGACCTTTCCCAGAGCACAGGAAACCCGTGCCCGAAAAGGCACATTGGCCCTGCCGCTGATGGCGCCCCTGGATGTCCGCTGCAGCTCTGTGTTGGCACAGTGAACAGGCCATCCCGCCACCCTCACAATGAATGGGACCTGAGAGAGGTGCCTCCGCCCGACACCCGTCTTGTACACAGCAAGGATTTCAGGGACCCCAGGAAATGCGTGATGTCACCTCTGGGGGCTCTCTGCTGTCCTGAACCCGGTCACGCGGTCACGTGAAAGCCAAACCAAGGAGCGTCCTGCAAAACCAGGGTCATGTGACAGTCTCAAAAAGTAGAAAGCGAGGCACCGATCCAGGAGAGAGGACCAGCAGGACCCCGGAGTTGTTGGCAGAGTGAGGAGGAGGGATGGAGAGAGAGAAAAGCAGTGCAGGGGGCGCGCGGGGGGCTCAGTCATTAAGCCTCTGACTCGCGGCTCAGGTCATGATCTCGCAGTCACAGTTGGTGAGACCCAGCCCTGCGTTTGGGATTCTCTCTTTCCCTCCCCGTGCCCTGCTACCGCGTACATGTGCCCTCTCTCTCAAAAATAAATAAACGTTGGGGCGCTTGGGTGGCGCAGTCGGTTAAGCGTCCGACTTCAGCCAGGTCACGATCTCGTGGTCCGTGAGTTCGAGCCCCGCGTCGGGCTCTGGGCTGATGGCTCAGAGCCTGGAGCCTGCTTCCGATTCTGTGTCTCCCTCTCTCTCTGCCCCTCCCCCGTTCATGCTCTGTCTCTCTCTGTCCCAAAAATAAATAAACGTTAAAAAAAAATTAAAAAAAAAAAAATAAACGTTAAAAAGTTTGCAAATAAAAAGAACAAGGTAGAAAAGTGCTCCTATTTGGGAATGTACGCAGAGTATTATTTGCGCACCCTCTATAAATGGTTCCAAAACAGCAAGTTTTAGAAAACTTAAAAATAAAAAACCCAGCGGGGTGCCTGGCTGGCTCAGCTGGTAGAGAATGTGACTCTTGATTTCAGGGGTTGTGAGTTTCAGCCCCGTGTGGGGGGGAGGGGCAGAGCTCATTAAAAAAATTAAATTAATACCATTAAAAAAACCCCCAGGTATTAACTTTAATTTAGCATCCGACTTCGCCTCAGGTCATGATCCCCCAGTTCTGGGAGTTCGAGCCCCATGTCGGGGTTTTTGCTGGCAGCTCAAAGCCTGGAATCTGCTGCAGATTCTGTGTCTCCCTCTCTCTTTGTCCCTCCCATGCTTGTGCTCTCTGTCCCTCTCAAAAACAAACTGAAAACATTATAAACAAACAAACAAACAAACATACATTAAAAAAGAAGCCCTCGCTTGGGAAGAACTCACACTAACTTGTTCCAGTCCTTGACACCGCTGTCTAGCCGCCGCCACCGGGCCCGGAGGGTTCCTGACACGGCAGGACAAGCAGGTGGCAGGGCTCTGGGCCCAGAGGCCAGCAGACCGAAGTGGGCACCTTCCACACGTTTGCTCTGGCCGGGGAACGCCCCAACCTGTCTGCATGTTTAAGGGCGATTCGGTGGTTCTCTGGGAGACTCAGGACAGCTACAGCGGGCCAGCCTTTAGAAGTAACTGGGGGAGGCAGTACTGGCCACTAAATCTTAATGGCTTTATCAAAAAAAAAAAA